GAGTATAAATTTATTATTATAAGTTATATAGCGAGCTAATATCGATTTCTTTAAATAATATAAATTTATTTTATATTATAATATTAGATTTTATTATAAATCTATTATCTATAAGAAATTTATATATTAATAAAATTTATAATATTATTTTAATCTTAATAGATAAATTAATTAAATAAAGAATTTAAAGATTAATAGTCTTATTAATAATTTATAGCGAGAATTTATATTATTATATAATATAATATATAATTTAATTTTAAATTAAAACTCTCTATTTATAAGTAAGTTTTAAATAATATTATATTAATATTTAAGTATAAAATATAAACTTAATATTATATTTTATTTTTAGATTAATAATTAAATTAAAAGATAAAATTAGATATTAAAATATTATTTATAAATATATTATAATTATAAATAGAATAATTAATTTAAAATCTTATTAATAGTAATATTTATATATAATAATAATATATATATAAATATTAATAAAATTTTATAAAAGCTATTAATAAGATATATAGTAGATTTAAAAGAATTATAAGAATAAATATTAAAATATTAAGTAAAGTATTATAATAATAATTATAAGATTATAATTTTTAAAAAAAAAAAAAATATTATTATAAAGTTTAAATATATATATTTTATAATTAAAGAAGAAATTAGATTATAAATAGCTACTAATCGAAAAGATATAGTATATTTTATAGAATATTTCATATTAAGTAATATTATATCGTACCCGAATATAGTATAAGTAAGATCGAATATCATTTCATTTTTCTAATATGAATTCGAGATCTTAGCGAGATATATTACGATATGATATATCTATGATATTATATTATGAAATGATATATATATAAGATATCCCGTTGGGATTTCTATATTTAGAAGTATAAAGTAGCTATTCTAATTATTATTCTAGTCAACGACTAATCGTATCTACCCCCATTTGATATACTATTATAGCTATTACTACTATAACTATTACTATTATAGCTACTACTATTATAGCTGGCACTACTATAACTAATACTATTATATCTACTACTATTATAACTATTACTATTATAACTATTACTATTATAACTATTACTTACTATTATAACTATTACTATTATAGCTACTATCGAAATATAACTCTCGCGCATTTCAGCCACCGTATTCTTCAGCTATCTAATTTTATACTATATTTAAAACCTAGTCCCGAAGAGGTTTTAAAGAATTAATCCGTTCGTTCTATACATTACATATCTAATATTTTAACAGCTACTACTATTATAACTATTACTATTTATTATTTAAATAGTCTACTATTATATAATAGCTATAATAGTAATAGTTATAATAGTAATAGTTATAGTAGTAATAGTTATAATAGTATTAGTTATAATAGTACTAGCCATAGTTAACTAGAATAATAACTAGAATAGCTACTTATACTTCTAAATATAGAAATCTCAACGAGATATCTCATATATATATTATTTCATAATATAATATTACAGATATAATATATCGTAATATATACTACTAAGATTTCATATTATACTAGATATGAGATTATGTAAATCTTAATAATCTATATTATATTAGAGTATAATATAATAGATTAATATTCTATATTATATTATATCTTTCCGACTAGTATAAATAGCTTAAATCTTTTAAAGTATTAGAGAAAATAGATATATAGATTTATAAACTAAATCTTTTAATTAGATATAAAAAAAATTATTTTATATTTTATATATTATTATTAAAATTATAGTACTCGCGTAATAATAATTTAAAGTTATAAATAATCTTAATTAATAAAAAAGAAAAATAGAAAATTAATAAGATATTAAATAAAAGAGTTTATAAAAATAAAATTAAGTATTTTATTAATTAAAAAGACTTCTTATTTTATAAAGCTTTATAGAAATTAATAAAGTATCTTAAAAATACTAAAGATATAATTAAGAACTTCGAATAAATAAAAAATTTATATAAATTAATATTTAAGATAAAGTTAAAGATATAATTATTAAGAGAAATTAAGAAATAAAAAAAATTAAAAAAATAATAGTAATAGAGAGTTTAAATAGATAAATAAAATTATAATTAAAAGATCTAGCGAATATAATTAAAAAGCTTATAAATTAATTTTAAAGCGTTAAGGCGCTATATATAATAAAAAAAAATTATTAGAGTTATATATATAATTATTATTATTTAATATTAATCTATCTATTCTTTTATATTAAGAAATAATTTTTTATTTAAAAGATTTATTAGATAGTAAGAAGATTTAATATAAAAGATAGTAAAAGAAGTAATAGAAGAAATAGCGAAGATAGTAATATTATATTAAAGTTTTTTAACGCGATAAATTATTATATATATTAATTATATAATCTAATATATATTAATTAAAACTTATATTACTTTATATTTAAAAAATAATATAAATATTCTTATTAAAGTAAGCTATAGTAAGAATATCTACTTAATAATAAAAGATTAGATTTACGATATATATATAATCTTTATAAAAGTATTATTTATATTTACGCTAATATAAATTAATAGAAAATATAATATAAATTATATAAGAGTTATATATAAGAGTATATATATAATAATAATAATAAAAGAGAATTAATATATATTAGCGTAATCTTTTAATTATCTAATATTTCTTTTATTTATAAATAAAAATAAAAATAGTAATAAGAGAAGCTATTAAGCTTTTTTAGTTAAATATATTTTTAAAATAGATATAAACATTTATTAGCTATAGCGAAGGGCGTAAAAATAATAATAATTATAAGTATTTAATAGTTTATAAAATTATAAGAGTAAAGAGTTAATATTATTATTAATATATTAATATACTTCTTATATTATTTATAAAGTATTATAAAGTATTCTTTAAAATACTTATTATATATAAAATTAATTTAAATAATTATAATCTTACTTAACTATTATCTTAATTAATATATATATTATATTATTATAATAATATATAGCTCGCTATTACGATATTATAATAAAAATAAATAGAAATAAAATATTAGATATAAAGAAGAATTAAATATTTATTTATAATAGCGTTAATATTAATATTATTATTAAAAAGAATAAAAGTTAAATTAGAAATAAGACTTTTATATTTATTAATACGATATTTATAATTATAATAATAGAATTATTATAATTATTAAAGTAATAATAATAATAATAGTATATAATAATAATAATAATAGTATATTATAATAGAATAATAATATATCTATATTCTATTAATTAAGATAATAATATATAAAGCGATATTATCGCGATTTAGTATATAAATATATTAATATACTTAAGAAAATCTCGAGATAAATAATTTAAATACGCTATTATAGTATATATTAATTTAGATTATATTTAAACTAGTAATAAATAATATATATAAATGCGTAAGTTCGACTCTAGAAAAGTAGAGGTCGAGAGTAACGATCTGAGTCTATTAGAGCTACGAATTCGATTAATAAATTTATAGTATTTAATTATAAGATATAATAATAATAAGATTTAAGAATTATATTTTTTAAAAGAGAATATAGTTATAAGAATAAAAGTACTTAGAGCGAATTAATAGACTCGCTTATATCGCTTATTAGATTATAAGTTATATAGTTAAAGCGAGTATCTAATATACTTAGCGAAGTCTTAAATACTTATAAGTTTTTTTTCTTCTTCTTCTTTTTTTAGTTATTAGTTTATTTAATAATTAATCTATCTATTCTATTAACTACGTATTTAGATCTCGTAATTATATAGCTACTACGTAGTTTTATTAAAAGAGGTCTTACTATCTCATATTAGCGAATCGAAAGAAATAGTTAATATTATTAAAATATTATTTATAAGCTTCTTCGTATATAACTTCTTTATAAGATAAGAGATCTTTTAGACGAAGTAAGTATACTCGAAAGAATACTATTTAAAGTATTTATAGTCTTCTTAATATCTTAAACGATTAAGAGATAAGTATATTAAACTCTCGTAAAGGAATAATCTTATTTTAAGCTTTATAGTAAAAAAATTTATTCTTAATATCGAATAACTACGAAATATCTTAAAGAGATTTTATTATTCTCTAATCGATCTAATATCTTTAATATCTATTCTTTCGAAGTATTTAAACTTCTCTTAACTTTTTCTTCTTCTTTTTTATAATAAAGTCTAATATCGAAAGAATAGATTAAATTAAAACTCTATTAGAGTAAATTATATTTCGATAAATATTAGTTCTATTAAATAATATTTCTAACGAGATAGATTCGATAAATACGCTTTAAAATATTATTAATAATCTATAATTATAATATTAAACTAAGTACTAATTCGATAAATTTATACTTATATTAAATAAAATTCGTTAAAAGCGAGATAATTTTTAAAAGATTATTATTTAATATTACGCTATTATAATAGAAAAGAATTAGATTATAAACGATTTATTTTTTATTAATAAATTAATTAAGAAGATAAATTAACTAGTTTAAGACTTTTAAAAGAATATAACTTCTCTATAGCGAAAAGTTAATAATCTTAATTCATATTTAATAAAAGATTTATAACTATTTTTAATCGAGAAGAAACGTATATCTAGATATTTAAAAGAAAGATTAGTTAAAATTCTAGATTTATCTCTATTTATCGACGATAGTAACTTTATTTAAAATAACTAATTTTCTAGAATAAAATAGAAATTTTAAGGCTAATAGCGATTATTATCTTATTAAAGACTTTAAGATAGTCTATATAGTCTTATAACTCGACGATAAGGCTATATAGTATACTATGTATAGAAGACTTCGAAACTTCACTAACTTATATTAGTCTATTAGTGAGATTTTAAACGAGTTAGCCGATATCTATGAGAACTCAGATCGACGTAGTGATGCATGGCGTGATATGAATGCTCTGCAGCAAGGAACCCCCCCCTCTCAAATAGCCATGGCCCCTATGGCTGGTAGACCGGAGATGCACGCCCATTGCTTGCCCTGTGTCTCCAAACATTCATAGTCCTTGCAGGCCTTGATTGGAGAAGATTTGCCGAGGTGTAGCGGTAGCAGTCGAATATCGGATGGTTTTAATTCGTTTAAAAAGACCATATCCGAGGTATTGCCGGGCCATATGCTGGTCTTGACTGTGCTATACCTGTATTGTCCTTCAGAGATCCCGGAGATGTAGTTATATCTTGCCTGCGTACCAGCAAGATTCTTCGAGTTCTTCTTCTTATCTAGTCTTCTTGTTATAGTTCTTCACTTTTTTTTTACCTTCAACACCTATTGATAGTCTGGTCTGGAAGCTTTACTGTAGATTTGCCCTACGTCTTCTATACTCTTGCCATCAAGTTTATCGGTAGAACTGAAGAAAATCCAACGTATGTATATGTTATCCTCCAACACCTATTAACAGCCTGACCTGGGAGCTTCACTGTAGATTTGCCTTGTGTCTTCCATGCTCTTGCCATTAAGTTTATCCTTTGATAGGGAGGTAGGGAAAGAATCGAAGTGTTGAATGCCATTTGGTAGTAGGCTTCACTATGTGTGTTGTCGACATGCTTAGTGAAGAGGTCGAATCGTAGTCGTTTCGGGGCTGTTCCCGTCGCCGTTGTAGCAGGCTCACTATGGTGTGGGGTTTGTGTAAATGTGAGATGGTGTTGGCTATTCCTTTCGATTCGCTAGCCGTACGAATGGTCCAATGCCTTCTTTATCCCTCGACCACTGTTTGCCGAGTCCGATTCGCTATGAAATCGAGTTACCCGTCTGGTGGGCTTACCCAGGGATACGATGTTGCCAAAGCCCCTGCCAGCGCATTCCTTTGAATCCGTCCGCTAATTCGAATGGAGTGTATCCGATTACATTTCTCTTCTATTCAGACTTTATTCGACTAGGTATCATCTTTGGCATTAAGGAAACTCTTATGCTGAAGGATTATCTTCTCAAGAAATTAAGAAAGAACTTGAGAGAATTATAAGATATCGTGAGGGGGTTTACTACCTTAAAGGCTATACCCCGACATTAATAAGTCCTAGAAAACTAAAAAAGTTGCCGCAAGCACCCCCCCATCGAAAATTAATAATATATCTTCTTAAATAACTTTACAACCACGACTTATTATAATCTAGAAATATTATAAACTATACTTACTATATTAATCTATTAATTCTTAAATTTTTAGAAAATTCTAGCTCGAATATCTTAAGTAAAATTATAAAGTGTAAAAATACGCTTAATATTAAAAAGTATCTCGGCTATTTTATAAACGCTAAGACTATCTTAAAGAAATCTATATATTTTATAAGACTTTTATTTTATAGAATAACGAATAATTAGAATTCTCTATAAACTTAAAGCTTAAAGATTTAATATCTTTTTAATAAACTATGAAATTTCTAGAGTATTATAAATTATCGAGTGTAAAGTTATTTAAGAAATTTCAATATTCGAATTTGAAGGGAGAGATACTTACGATAACTTTTTAGTTTCTTAGAACTTATTAATATAGAGATAAAGAAATATCTTCGAAAATTAAATAATTTATATCGTACTAGATATAAAGATATAGAGTCTATAAAGACTATTATTAAATTAATTATAATACGAATTACGACTAATATACGTCTTATATCTATTATTAAAGCTATAATTACTACGCTTTTAAATATTAATATTAATTTAAAGTTAAGAGAATTAATATATTATAACTATAATAAGAAAGATTACTATCGAAATAACTATATAATAACTATTTAAATTAAGATCGATAAAAAGATCTTCGAGAAAGTATAATTTCACGCGATAGATATAGATAAAGAATTCGAAATCGATAACGTAGATATTATAGATAGCGACGATTCTTTATTAAATTTAAGAAATAAATAGTTTCTTTTAAAGTTATAGTAAGAGGTACTTATAAAGTATATTTAATAAATACTTTTAATAACGTCTTAATACGTTATTGTTTTTATATATAAACGAGTAAAGATTTATAAATTAAATTCATAAATTTTTTTTTGATTAGAGCTATCGAGTAAATTTAATAAGCGAACTTTTAATAGACGATATTTAAATTCGTTGCCTTTAAATATCTATAAGACTAAATTTAAAAATTCTTATTTTTTCTTAGAGCCCACATTTTATTCTATAATTTAAAAAAAAAATCTTAGAATTTTAATAGAAAATAAAAAAGTTATTTTAAAATTAAATAATATATATCTAATCTCGTAAGATTAAAAATAGAATTCAATATGAGGTCGAAAATTAAAATATTATATTTTCTATTCTTTTACTATTAATATTACTATAATAGATCGTAAACGTTTTAAAAAGAAGTCTAAACGTAAGAATAAAGTCTACGATATCTCTCGAAAGATTAAAGTTTAAGACGCTATCGAATATCTACGCGTAAAGGGCATTTCTAAGAATTTATATAATATATTCGAATTCTTTAATATAAAGTAATAACCCGACTATAAAATAATTAAATCTAAAGCTTTATTATATATATTCTATAATTAAGATTATAATAAGACTCGTAATTGAAAGTATAAGATAATTAAAGTATAAGTTACTTAGATAAATTAATTATTAAAAGATATAGACTTAAAAATAAAGGTTAAAGATATAAATTAATATATCGTAATATAGAATTTAAATCTTAATATTAAAAGCTCTAATATCGTTCGAAATACTATATATAATACTTTTAATTACGATAAATATAAGATTATTTTAAAGTAATATATAAATTAAAGAGTTTAGAATAATCGTATTAATTAAGTTAATATAATATTACTATATTAATCTAACTCGAAGAACTTTTATAATATTTATTATAGTAATAAGTTTTATATTAACTACGAGTCGAAAGGTTAATTAATAATTATTCGTCGATATAGAGTAGAAATACGATATCGCTATAATAATATTTAATATCGTAATCTATCTTTAGAAAAAATTCGATATTATATATATAGCTAAACTATAGTAAGATGAAATTTTAAGATTTTAGAAATTATCTAATATATAATATCTAGTAATATTAATAAGATAATTATAATAAAAGTCTATATCGATTAAATTCTAGAGTATTAGAGACTTAATAATATATATAATAACTCTATATTATAGTATAAAGAGAATACTATCTATATAGGATTATTATAAGTATAAGCTTTATAGCAGAGTAGAAAGGCCGAAAGGCCTTAATACGCTAAGCCTAATTAGGTTATAATATAAGTAAGGTTATAAGATTATTAAAATCGTAATATTACCTTCCTTTTTAATTTAAAGCTTCGGCGACGACTACTATATAGTAGATATCGATCTTATAAAAAGTATATCTAAGCGTATATAGAGTAATATCCTTAGATATATTAACTTAGTATTTCGTAATAGATTTAAGATCTTCTTATAAATTGATATAGCTATTATAAATTAGTAGCGCTAATAAAGAAGACTATTTCGAAGCTCTTTTAAATAATAAATAAGGGCTAACGATCTCGAAGTAATAATAATAAAAGTCTACTATTAAATTCGAATATTCTACTATATCCGTAAATAATTATTAGAATAGATTTTCCTCGATTTTAGAATCTCTATACCTGATTTTATATATTAGATATCCCCTCTTACTAGTTAAGAGATCATTTTTTTATTTATTTAATTTAAATTAAACTATTTCTTTAATATCGTAAATTTTATCTTCTTTATTAATATTAATAGAAGATAATAAAGGCTTAATCTATTCTAATAGTAAATCGCTATTATCGAGATATAATAATTATAGATAAAAAATAAAATAAATACTATTTATAAAAGTAAGAAGTTCTAACTTATAAGTAAAATTATTTAAAGCTTTAGTAATTTTAAACGATTCGAAATTCTTATAATTTAGTAATTTATTAAGACGTATGATTTTAATATTTCTTTTATTAAGTATAATTATATCTTTAATTTTAAATTCTAATATTAAAAGTTAATAACGATTAGCTTACTTCTTCTATAAAGCTTATAATTATTTAAACTAACTTCTTAAATAATTTTTTATAATATCTATCTTCTTAATAAACTTATTAACTAACTTAATATCTCTCTTCGCTTTTTAACTAGCGGATTAATTCTAAGAGATAAAGAATTCTATTTTCGAGCGGAGAATATATTCTTTAATAAGAAGAAATAATAATATACCCGATAAGACGTTCTTATTAAAGTTAATTTCGAACTTTGCTATTAATAATAGATTTATCTAATTATCTTAATTATAATTAATATAAGCTTTAAGATATTACTTTAGAATAGTATTAGTATTCTCTATCTATTTATTAATTTTAAGATAAAATATAGTAAAAAGTTTAGGTTTAATTTCAATCCTTTCGTATAGTCTTCTCTAGAAATATATTATAAATTAAATATCTTAATTCGAGATAATAATAAATAGATATTCTTTCTCTCGCTATATGAATTCGATAAAGGCCTAAACTACTATCTTCACTTCTAAGAAGTCTAAAAGAACGAATTTCTTCTTCTTACTAAGTCTATTTATAATTATTATAATATATTAATAGAAGTATTTATATCTGAGATAGATAGATAATAATATAATAAAGTTAATAAAAATATCTTATTAATATTATTCGGAAATAGATAGAAATTTAAGAAGACCTTGTTTGCTCTCTCTATAAGTTTTAAATCTCTTATAAATATAATAGCTCTTAATATAGCGGGTAACGAAATTCGTTATTCTTAGTTAATAGTAGTATCTACTTAATCTATTATAAATTAATAATCTATTAACATAATCTTCGAATAAAGAGTTATAAATATCTCTAATAATCTTAATTTATAATTCGAGAATATCTAGTATATATAATCTATTATTAATATATAATAACTTATCGTAAAGATAATAATTACTTAATTTTAGCTTAAAATTATTCTTAATTATTTTAAGTAATAACTTTCTCTATTTAAATACCTTTAATTAAATAATTTCTTAAATAATATTATTATAATTATAAGTGTTTCTTATTTAATATAATAACTTAGAAGTATTAATAATAGAGACTTCTTTTAATTCTTCTATAAACTCCTCTTAAAAAGTCTCTATCGAGGTCTCTAATAATAATTCTTTATTAGATTCCTTATTATTAATATTATCTTATTCGCTAAGTTTATATAGTATTATAGTTAGAGAGATAATACTTTCTCTTATATCGTTTAGAAGTATAATAATAAGATATATAGCGTTCTTAATATCTTTATTAAGATTATTATTTTTAAGAATTATATAATATCGATAATGAATATAATCGTTATTCTTATTTTTAGATAGATCTCTTACTCGTCGAGTGAGGCTATTAGATTTAGTACTTTATTTTCTTAAGTGATAAGTAATATGAAAGTTGAATTTGGAAAGAAACTTCGTTTATCTTATTTGGCGGAAGTTAAGTTATTTAAAGAATATAAA